CGATGGTAGAACGTCTATCCTATGAGTCGCCAGCCCAGTCAAGGAGCAACAATAAAATAAAATTTGAGAGATCAAATATTTTGCCGCTCCTCAACTTTAGTTCTCATTTAGCCACTACACACACACACAAACTTGTTAGCACTAAAACATGATTCAATATTACCCTAAATAAACTCAAGCAAAACTTATTAGATTTCTCTCGAGACGCTTGATTTGATTATAAGTATGTCAAATTTGGTGTATATTTAGTCATTCAATTAGTGTTCTAAAGTTTCAATTAAGCTTCAAATACTTGATTTGATCTTGATTAAATTCAGGTTGAATCACTTTTAGTGTAATTAAGTTAACCATGTCGAGACGCTCAATTTGATTATAAATTTATTGAATTTAGTGCTTAGAAAATCATGAATTTGAATTTGGAATGTTTCTTGTTGAAAATTTATTAAGATTCGTGTTTGATGATAAAAATTTCTTGATAACACATTATTCTTGTAACTCTTCTACTTAAGAAGAAAATTGAAATTTTGTTAACTTCAAAAATATAATATATTATTTTAATTGGATCAGACCCCTAAATTTGTCTCATTTGCATGAAGGGATATACGCATAATTGGTGCCAACTTCAAGTTGTTCATCGAAGGCATTGGTTCATTTTCTACCCTAATCATCTTCATGACAAAACATATTTATGGAAATGCACAGTTCTTTTTGCAAGGTTAATTTTAATGATATTTTTATGGGAAGATTGAAGTATGAGTATTATATATCTAAAATATAAAATTTAATTGTTAGATATATAAATATATAAAAAATATATGATATGTATTTAAATTCTATTTTTTATTTAATGCAAAGAACTTGTCATTTCTTTCATCTTAAAATTTAAATTTATATGAAGATGAATTATTAGATATTTTATACTAATATATTTTAATAGTTCGATACAAGTTTAATTCAAATTCTTATATAATTGGATCATGTAAATTATGAGCACAAGAGAAAAAAAAACCTCTCGATTTAATATTGAAGAACCAAATAGTTGAAATTATAAATATTTTTTTAGGCGGTGTTTGATAACCTTTACTTATAGGATTTAATCATGAATTTATCTTAAATCCAGCCTAACCACAAAATAATAATAATAATAATAATAATAATAATCTAGCGTTCATGTTGAATCCAAATCTTTTCCATCATGCCCAAAAGATTAGGTCTACGGACTGAGAGAGAGGAAAGAGGAAGAAAGAGGGAGAAGAATATGGGATGAGCGAGACTTGCCCAACAGGGCGAAGAGAGGTGTTCTCGGACTCTGACTCATTTTATTCCTTGAAAAATAAAGATTACAAGAGAGCACAAGGAAAGAGAGTCCTCCCTACATGGGTTTTGAGAGAGAGAAGAGCCCAATGACCCTTAATACATGTCATAGGTCATCTATTTATACCAAATAAAATGGGAAAATACAAACTTTTACCGTCACTTAATGAAAGATAGTACATGATATTTTCGTTTTTATATCTTGGAATGTTAGATTATCTTGAGATTGTTGCAGATCATTTTTTTGGTGTACATATTAAGTTCACTAATTTTCTTGCTTCTCGGTACCCACAGCTGCAATAAGGACAAAAAAATTTATGCAGTAAAAAAACTTGAGCACATAAATCATTAATGATATTTCCTCTTAATTCATTAGTCGTTGAATGAACTCCCGGGATGATTTGCCCATTACTCATCTCAGAGTTTGTCGTTGTCGGGTATGAATCATTTTCATAGAGAAGAATTTGAGTATGTCAGTCGAGTTTCGGCAAAACGAACTTGGTGTTCAGGGTGACCAACTTTGTTTGGCTTGATAGCTTGTGGGTCTAGCTGGCCGATCTTGACGACACACTTGACCATTTGTATTTGTGGGTCGACCGGATGATCATGGCATCTCGACCAACCACTTTTGTTTGGTCGAATGGCTTGTGGGTTTAACCGGAGATCTTGTCGTCACAGCTGACAATTTGTATTTGGTGCGTCGAAGATGGGTTTTAATCCTTCAATTGTGTGGGTTTTGGTTGCTTGATTGGAACGCCGGCTTATGCTGGGTCCCCTCGCTCTGGGAGGAGGCCGCATAAATTTCTCTCTATGAGGATTGTTGTCATACCCTTTCGCGGAGCTTGTCATTACTGAGCACGGCTTGTGGTGAAGAAAGTTTTCTGCCTAGCCCTCATTATCAATTAGACGTCTATGACATTATTGTCGGTTATTTTTTGTCATCTACTGATTGGATGTTTATGGCGTAGTTGTCAATTCTCTTACTCGCTCACGAGTTCCCCGAGTGCTCGTACAAATTGCTAAAGACAACATTTAAGAATATATTGCCTCAAATTTATGCAGGTAATAAGTAGTTATTGAATTTATTTGAAATACCAAATGTATATAAAAAAATTCTCCTACAACCCCTTGGGTTTGTTGAGTCATTAGAAAGAGTTTTTAGGTGCAATAAAAGACTGAAATAACCTTACCTCCCTGGAGAAACGAATTACTTCTTTTTGTCATACCTACTTTAAGAAATATATTACTTCGTTGACATGATTTGGTAGATGACGAGAGTTAGGGAGACCTAATTTTAAGATGGTCCATTGGCAAGTCCGACGAACGGCAAGGCGGTTGGCCGGAAAATAAAACAGTAAATTTTAAATATGTAAAGACAAGGTTTGGGTAGTTTGCACATAAGCACCCCTTTTAAATTGTATATATATTTATTAATATATAAGAATCGAGTAGTATGAATGTCATGTTGTTAAATTGTATATATATTTATTAATATATAAGAATCAAGTAGTATGAATGTCATGTTGAGAAATTAGGGCGAAGAAAAAATAAGAATCGACACAAATTCAGAAAAACACAGAGATTTAATGAGGTTCGGCAAAGATGCCAACGTCTTCAGGAGCAGAGTGGCGAATTCACTATTTCAGAGGAGTCGAGTACATACTCATAGGGTTACACATCATATATATAGATAAAACTCACAGATAAAATTACTAACACGCCATCGCTCCCTCTAATCCACAAAATTCCGAGATACCTCTTCAATCCAAGAGACTTCAAATTTTGGTATGAGTAATACCTAACAAATTTCCACCTTGGCGAATATTCAGCCTCTTAGGTGACATACATATACCCAACAAATCTCCAACTTGACGAATAGTCAGCCTTTAGGAGAAATACATCATAGAGTTTTTTACACCGAAGTGGGTTGGGCAACCATGTCGTCTAACAATTGCAAACATTCAACAAGTCCAAACAATGCAAGAACTTGTTGAGTCATACCTAACATGTCGTCACCAGGCAGGTGGACGGTCGGAGGCACGTGGTAGGTCAAAGGCGACCAGAGCGTTGGACAAATTTGTTGGAGGGATGGATGAGAATTGAGTGGTATGCATGCAAATATTTTGTTTGGGAAGTGGCAGGCCAGATGGGCAGTCGGCCGAAGCAGCGATGCGGCTAGCCAGTGGATGGCTGGCCGGAGGAGGTGGTCGGCCGGATGAATACACAAGATTTGTATGGTATGTATGTAAACCAGATGAATACACAAGATGTGTGGTATGTATGTAAATTTTCTGTTGAGGAGGTGATCGGTAGGAGTCGTGATTCGGCCAACCAGATGAATATACAAAAATTATGTGGTATGTATGTAAATTTTCAATTTGAGAAGTGGTCAGCCGGAGCGAGGCGGGCGACCAGTGGATGTCCGACCGAAGGAGTGAGGTGGCCAATCAGATGAATGCACAAGATTAGTGTGGCATGTAAGTTTTCCATTTGAGAGGTGGCCTGCAATATGAGTGGTCGATCGGTAGATGGTCGACCGGAGGAGTGAGGCTTTCGACTGGATGACCTGTTTTGTCATATGTTTTAAGGAATGAAGTATATGGTTCTCCATCTGCATCTTGAAATCGGTCAAGGTATCCTATATGATTGAATTGCAGATCGATCCAAGCGATGTTATGGTGGATTTTCTGGTAAGGAAGCAAATAAATGCAAATATTTTTTGTTGCATCTATAAATGTCTCCGAGTGTTGACATGAGAGATCTCTACATTCCTTTCGAGTATCCTTCATCATTTCCTCTTTTCAAAGGGGTTTGCGCCTTCGGGCCAAAATCTCTCAAAAAATGCCCATGCCTACATATGTTGTTTTGCAAGTTCCCGCTATGTGCTCTTCGCTAGGAGTCTCTCTGAAAATTTTTTTCCTAGGTGCTGCTTGTCTTTGTTGTATTAGAACGATCCTCGCTGCATCTTTTAGGATGTTAAATTCAAATATATCCTATTATAGCCAAGGCATAGAGTTAGGGATCGAGGGAGAGGAAAGAGAAAGATAGAGAAAGAAGAAGATGAGAAGGGCGAAGAGAGATGTTGCACGGCTTTTTGACCCCTTTTATAGCTTGAAAAGTAAAGGTTTCAAGAGAGCCAAAGGGGAGAGAGTTCTCTCTACAGACGGTTCTCTCTACATTAGAGGTTGAGAAAAAGGAGAGCCCAAGTTCCCATGATATATGTCACGAGTCCTGTATTTATAGCAAATAAAATGGAGAAATACAATACTACATTTTTACACTCACTTTTTGGAAGAATATTACAGGGTATTTTGGTCTTTATATCTTGAACCGTTAGATTATCTCGAGATCCATGCAGACAATTTTTTGAGAGTAAAGTTCCGCTAAATCCAATTTTTGCGCATTACTTCTTTCTCTTCCAGCATTCCGTTATTTTTATGCATAAATTTAAATTTAATAATTTTAATTGTGAAAAAAATATTTATTTCACCATGGCTTTCAAACTCTTCCGTCCCCTTTTCTATCTGATAAATTTAAATTTATTGAATTTGATAAATTTTTAATTAACATAACACTAAGTTGCAGCCAAGACCTTCCTAACATGCTGATATCCAAATCCAACTTGGCGACTACAAATTTGACTAAACTCGGACAATAAATTTTATTTTTTTAATCAACTTCTATTGGCGCTCCCATAGTACTCAACCACTCGAGCCATTAAAGAATAAGGAACACAGACCATACATGCCCGAGTGCCCCCAACATCCTCCTCCATAACTGCCCGCTCGCCCATTTCAAGAACTCATCAAATTACAATTTGCTGTAAAGAAAAGATCAGATCGAGAACATGGATTCCCTCAAATCTTTCAATGGGTATGGCAAGATGGATCCAGCTGAAGACCGTGAGTTCCGCCGGAAAACCAAGATTCGCCTCATCTTCATAGCCATCGCCGTCCTCCTCCTCATCGCTATCGTCGCCGGAGTTGCCATCTCTGTCTCCGTCAACAAACGGAAGGGTGGTCAATCTCCCATATCAGCATCATCTTCTATCAAAGCAGTCTGCAGCCTCACGCGCTACCCTGACTCCTGCTTCTCCAGCCTCTCATCCGCCACCTCCAATTCATCCACCGTCGCCACCGATCCGGCTGCTCTCTTCCAGATTTCCCTCGTCGTCGCCTCCCGCTCCATCTTGAAGCTTTCCTCCTTCCTCTCCTCACTCGAAATCCCACCCACCGACATTCGGCTCCAGGCCGCCATCAATGACTGCAAGGAGCTGCTCGGTGACGCCGTTGATCGGTTGAATGACTCAAACGCTATTTTCACAAGAGCAAACCCTGGGGAAAAGATTTTATCCGACAGCAAGATTAGCGATCTCAAGACATGGCTCAGCGCAACGATCACCGACCAGGCGACGTGTCTGGACGGCTTCGAAGGTACCACCGGCGGCTTTCGCGAGAAATTGGAGACGGCGATGGTGAACTCGACGCAGTTAGCCAGCAACAGCCTAGCGATTGCCACGGGGATTGTGGGAATTATGAAGAAATTGCATTTTCCGATCAACAGGAAACTTCTTGCTACGAGAGGGCAGAGTAGGGTTTTGTTCAAGAACTTCATTGATTGAACACCGACATTCTCGACTGCAACATTTGGTTAGTTCAATTAAGTTAATTGTGCGTTTAATTGATTTCGATTCCTGAACTAGCTTTTCCATGGTTTATAGTTGTACTTGAAATGCTTCACGGTTTCTGCTTCGTTTAAGAATATATAAATGTGGATTTTGGTGAGATTTGATGAAAATAATTGGAAATATTTCTCGTTTTTCATGAATTAGAATTTGATGTCACATGCGATCATATTGACTGCGAGTAAATTTGGGCGGGCGTCCTGGGCACATGTTTGTGATGTCAAAACTTAAATTGGTACCCTAAGTATAGATAAAAGTAGTATATTTGTTTTAGGATAATTACACAGGGACTGTCCCGTAGGGGTGTTAACGAGCTCACAGGAGCTCAAAAAAATGTGTTCATATTGACTCGTTTGTTTAACGAGACGGAACACGAACAAAGAGTCATTTTGACAATTTTAATCACATAGATATAAGATATTAAAGATTATAACAAATTTTAAAACATCATTTGATTCTAATTTAATAATTTTTATTTTATTTTTTTAATTAATACTTTTAATTGATTATAAATCTTTCTAGATTTGTAGTCAATTAAATTTTTTAACTATATTACTCATTTTAGTCATATGTT